CTGCACTAGCTACAGCATTGTGTGTGTGTGTGTGTGTGTGTGTGTGTGTGTGTGTGTGTGTGTGTGTGTGTGTGTGTGTGTGTGTGTGTGTGTGTGTGTGTGTGTGTGTGTGTGTGTGTGTGTGTGTGTGTGTGTGTGTGTGTGTGGTGTGTGTGTGTGTGTGTGTGTGTGTGTGTGTGTGTGTGTGTGGTGTGTGTGTGTGTGTGTGTGTGTGTGTGTGTGTGTGTGTGTGTGTGTGTGTGTGTGTGTGTGTGTGTGTGTGTGTGTGTGTGTGTGTGTGTGTGTGTGTGTGTGTGTGTGTGTGTGTGTGTGTGTGTGTGTGTGTGTGTGTGTGTGTGTGTGTGTGTGTGTGTGTGTGTGTGTCCGCACGACTGTTGTATATTTATTTAATATCCTGTGTGTGTGACAAGGGGAGCACACAGTGGTGTGTGAGAGCTGATACCAAGCTCTTGAGATATAAATAGGACCTCCCTGGAACAAGGCTTCCACCATCAGCACTGATAATTCTCCAGTGTGTGTAGGCCTCAGTCTTTGTAGACTTTAATTTCCTTGGTTTGCACACACACAATGCTGTCTCTATTTTGTTTTCAAGGAATCTTAATGTTGTAATGGAAGTGTTTTGATGGTCTTAAGCTTGGCAGTGCGTATTTCAATGGTGGTTTCAAGCAATATGAATGTTGGCTCTGCTCGCAATAGGCCATAGTGAGGATACTGTTTACTGGGCAGCACAGTCAAGCTGCTAACTCTTAATTTGTGTGATTAAGCAGGAACAACATACCGCTGCAACACACATTCAGCCCCCAATGTGTCCAGAGAATCATTCAGGGTTTGGTTAAGAACCAACTCAGTGGGCTGACGCTAGTCATGAGGTTACTCACACTGACGAGATCAATTCACGTGTGTCTTTCACGCATCCTGTTTCCTTCCCGCTTGATTTAAGTCCGCTTCAGGCTGTTGCCAGTTTTTTTTAAATGAGTTTAGTTCCACCTTTGGTGTCAGGAGCAGAGTTGTGAGGGTACGGTAAGAGCTGCACTACACCAATGTGATGTATTGTATCCGAAGTGTAACTGGGTTCAGACTTAAATTGACAATTTGAACCGTTTGGATCATAGTCTTTATCAAGCATTTGGAGGGTGCCCAGGAGACTACCTCCCTAACATCCGCTCCACAGCAATTCTTTTTTATCCTGGATTTATCGGCTGGTTCACTTTTTAACTAATGGTCAAAGAACTGTGAAAATTGCCTCGTGAGATTCTCAGAGCCCGAAGTGACAAATTGAAGTTGCCAAAATGTTCCTACCCACATAAAGATATTCAAATAAAAGTGATGGCAATATAGAAAAGCTGTTTGCTTGAGAAACGAGTTGCTTCTTCAAATTTGGTAGACCTCATGTCAGATGTTAGGATAGAGAGTTTGTACTATATCTCTTTAAATATCAGTCAGTCAAAACCTGCTTTCCAGGCAGAATATGTTCTACAGTTGGGCTTGTACAGCTGTCTAGTAGGCAAAAGACTTCTAAGGATTGTAGATGTCACTATGATGTTTTAAACGGTGGTTTCTATAAGCTGCAACCTCTGTACTTAATCAGTCATGTGGGACATGCACACAGGAGCAATGGTTTGGTTAAACTACATTTCGTTCTTGCCAACAAACCTGCATCTGATGTGGACATCGGACAGCAGTGTCTCAGGTTTCTCGTGGAGTCAGTGCTGCTGGACAAGCTGTGCCAGATTTCTGTAAAGCACATGAGAGAGACGGAGAAAGCAATCACTCTGTGTGCGTGTGTGTGTGTGCCACAATGAAGAAACCAGCCATTGAGGAAGAGGGGGGGGGGGGAGTGATGAGTAAGTTGAGGAAGGAAGAAAGGAAAAAAGAAATGAGGGATTTAGGAACTTGGGCTCTTTTGTGCAGGAATGTTTTCCATTTGAAACTCATTGTGTTTGATTTGGTCTGTCCTCTCCTGCTGAACGCTGTCTAGCAAAACAAAGAGATGATAAGAGCGTTGAGGTAAGAGGTCCAGGATAAGAACAAACTCCCAACCGTCTTAGTCTTTTTGGTTTCCCTCACATCTTGAACGTGGCCCCGTCAGTCCCCCAGTCAAGGTGAAAGTGAAGGCAGCAAGAATCCAAACACATCTGGAGATGCTCATACCAGAGGACACAGAGGATGAAAAGAAAGGGAAAACCATGGGAACGGAGACGGCCGAGCCCCCAGAGGGATACAGCCGGAGGAAGTGTGTGTGTGTATGTATGCATGTGTTTGAGTGTGCGCATGTTATGTAGTCAGTGAGTCAGTGCTGAGTCATCGCTGGGCTGGCCCGGCAGATAGAAACCGGCTTCTGGGGGGGGGGGGGGCGGGCAGCTGGAGGGGCACAAGGGGGCACACACTGAGCATGCTCTGAAAAGTTACAGGAAGGGAATTGGTTGTTGTGACAGGACATGATATCCAGGAACTTCAGTGATGCAATATTTCATGGTACCAAGTTTTCACTCCTTCCCTGACGCACGTGTCCCCCTGGTGTGTTTGATGATGAAAAGATTCGCAGACTTTTTTGCAATCTCAAGAATTCACCACTTTTCGTCTCTGAATGTCGTCGCTTAGGACACGAGAGGGAGAGAGAGATGTGAGCCGCGAGATAACAAGACATGCAACTCCATGTTTAGCCCAACTACGACCCCCCCCTGTCTCTCTTCTGTTTCTTGTGGTTTTCGCTGATCTGTTAGACCACAGTCTCTGACCCCCCCCCTCCCCTCACACTCGCACGCACGCACTACCTGTATTTAGAATAGACACTTCTATGCTGCGTCGGAGGAAGATGGTATGTAAATGTACCACATGTTGTGGTTTGAGAATGATAACCTATTTTAATATCACTGTAGCGGAGGTCTTAGTTTGACTTTGTATAACTGTTGCTTATTTGTAGAAAGCATGGGTGGAAGCAGAAGTATAGTAATGAGTTTCAGTTTGTATATGATGCATTTGTATTTAAAACGTCTTCTGCTGCTTCAGACATCCGTGTGTTCTTGCTAGTATTTCTTTCATGGTGAGAAATTCCACCATCTGCTTTTGTTGAAATAACCTCTCTTTGCAACCGATGCATCTTTTTCATGCTATAGTTTGAATCGGACACATTTATTCACCGAATAACTTGATGAATCTCTATTTGAACTCAATATTTTGTTACATGACTGCCCTTCTACTTCATTAACAGCAACTCTACGGCTGATTATACAACGTTGTATCATCCAAGAGGCTCGACTGTTGCATCAGCTAAGGCCTTTTGTGGTTCTTTTAATATGCGTCCTTCCTCCTACCAATAATCTGCGACTATGTGTTAAGCGTACTCGGGGTCAGTGTTGTATAAAGAACAGGGGCAGTGCTCTCGTTGAATGCATCCTGTTTCCTCATTCCTGTGGTTAACTCCTTAACCATTGTCTCATTTGGTTCAAATCAAATGTAGCAGTTAGTTGACCATGGTGGATAGGTAAGAACACATGCGATGTAGAAGAGCAGACTGTTGAAAATAGAAATAATTTTTTTTAAGTAGCTAATGTGTTGTTCATAATAGGATAAGCCAAACCTACAGCGTTTTACAAAGATATAAAATGTACAAAATGAAGAAATAACATACAGTGTATCAGCATGCTGCAGAAGTGAAGCACTGAACAGTGAATAACAATAAGCAGAGGCCAAGCTGTCATAGGCCACCCACCAAAGCACCACCTCCTCAATGTATGCGAAAAATAAATCCCTCCCCACAAAAAAGCCCCTGGAAAAATAGAAGACCACTTTATAATCGCTGCGTCCAGGATTTCAGTCCAGGAAGTTGGGAACTTTGGTGAATGTCATTTCTGGATTTCCTTTTATATTGTTATAGCCTGCTCTCAAAAGAATGGCAAAGTGACCGAAAAATGACTTCAAAGCAACTTTTACCAGAGACATATCGAACTTTCAGCATTTAATCAGCTTGCATTCTAAATTGTCATCGGAAACCTTTTGTGCGCAGTAATGACTTTTTTTCATGGGTCAGGAGTTAAGTGTAAACGAGTATGTTGGATCATTATCTGCTGCATATGGATATGGGTTCAAAGTAAGCTCCTTTTTTTATTGACTATATTATTAAAGTTGTTGGTGTTTTGGGACAGAAGGAGAAGAATGGAGCAAGAAAATGTGTTAAGCAATTGCGGTCTGTAATGGTTCTGACATGAAATAGGCTTTAAATAAAAAAGCAGAAGAAACTGAAATATGTCGCGTGTAAACACCTTAACACACAGATGGCCAGCAGGCAGTGTGGTGGATTGAGAAATGATCTAACCGTACTTCCTCTAGTCAGGGCCTCATTCAGTGTTTGTCCCAATGACTGATTACTGTTTTCATTCATTTCAAACACTTCACTCTCTGGCATCCATGTCACATTTGGAAGTCATTTAGTCATTTGTATTGACTGCATTTTACTCTCTTCATTCTTTCTTTCATCTTCCAGGCTTTCAGATTTCCTAGAGTTTTTCTCTCATATACGCACGCACAATGTTTTTGCACTTGATTGAATTGACTGTTTTCCCACAAATTGAACGGTTACCAGTTGTCCTTTGAGTGAACTGCGGCCTTCCTTATCTATTAAGATACTCCATGACTGGTTGATTGCCAGAGATTCTTTGCAGGCCAATGTAATCCAATTTGTTCTGTTTAAGATGGAGCTCAGATCAAATCCGACTTTTGGCTGTCCTTTCTCAATATTTGAACCTTTTGGAAGTCTTAAGTAGTTCAAAGACAAGTTCTGACTTTTTTGTCCAGTTCCATCTTCAGTACTCCAGTTCTTTACTTTAAATGATCTTGATTTGCCTCTAATTGCATTTCCATATCTCTCTTTTGTTTGTCCCTCAATCCTCTTTCCTAAACTTTCCATCCTTCCACATATCTCCAAATCAACCCCTCGGCCCCCACCTCTTTTCCCACCTTCCATCTTTTTCTGTCTCTTTTCGACTTTCTTTGTCTCGCAGCAGTGATTCTCAGCCGGTCTGGTTACTGCAATGAATGGTAACACTATCCATCCAGCCAACACCAGCACAACAGCAGGAGAGGGCCCAGGCGTGGCAGCGCCCCCCAGAGGCTGGAGGGAATTCTGCGAGCTTCACGCCATCGCCACAGCCCGGCAGCTGGCTGGACACTACCGGAGCTTCGCCAGAGAGCGAGCACAACATGACGTTCTCCCACCAGAAAACTTCTCCAAGCAGTTCACCGACCTCTTCCAGCAACACTTCAGCTGCGAGGTCGACAAAGATGGCACTCCGCTCAGCCAGAACACATGCTTCACTGGTACTGGTAGTGTCCCCCCCACCACTCCAGTGCCCACTCCCCTTCCATCACAAGGTGTGATTGGTCGATTGCGGATCACATCGTTGTCCGGGGTGCAGGACTATCGAGAGGCGGGCCGGCCGAGTGTTGGAGCGGCTCTCTTCACTGTGGTGTCACCAAAGGTGGAGCCACTGGTGGTGAGTCGGGAACAGGAGCAGCCGCTGCGATGTGCCGCGGGAAACTCGTTATCAGGTAACCCGGTGACGCTCACAGGGTCGACTCGTAGCATCGGCAGCGGGTCATTGGTGATTCGTAGCCATAGCAGCGAGGAGATCTCTGCCACTGATCGAAGTCTGGTATCAGAACGGTACTCCTCTGACATCTCAACCTCCAACCCTACACACGCTGAAGTCACACATTTCTCTGTCAGCCAAATCCAGCATTCAGTGAGACGGCTTTTCAAAAAACAGTACAACACCCCCCCATCCCAGGACCTGTCTCCTAGCAACCCCAGCACCAACACCCTCCCAATTAATGGTGACAGAGTAAGTGGGATTCCCTCTACCAATGAGGAAGGGTCCTCCTCCTCCTCCTCATCCCACTCTTCCTCTTGTCTGAACTCTGAAGCCACGCCGCTGGTCTCTTCACACATGACTAAGGCCGGAGTGGGCTCTAACTTCCTGGATCGTTTCCCGTGGTTACGCGTTGGCAGCCTGAAGCAGAGGAGGTCGGAGGCGAGCGGCTGCTGTAAGGCGGAGCAGCTGAGGTACCTGCTGGTGGACGACACTATCTCAGACACTCAGCACCGCTGGCAACGCTGCCGCCTGCTGGTCAGGAGGATCAGGGACGCTCAAGATGGAGGAGGAAGAGGAAGAGGAGGAGGGGAGAGGTACCAGTTGGAGCTCTATGATCCTCCAAAGGTAAAAACATTTGCTCATGCCTACATAAGTACACACATATGCCATTTAAATTAGAACTGCAACTAATGATTAGCTTTGTTATCAACCGATCTGCCAAATATTCAAGTCATCAAGAAATCGTTTGGTTGATTCAAATATTAGAAACCATTGAACATTTTTTTTCCCAGTATCTAAAAGTCAAGGTTGATGTCTTGAAATGCCTTGTTTTGTCCGTCCAAAGACCAAAGATATTGAGTTGATATTATTGAGTGGATGTTTGTGAAAGCAGTGGCAGTAACCACTTTCAGATTGTACTGATCAGTATAGTAGTTTCACATCCGTGCTGGACCTTTTTTGCCAAAAAATAGTTCATCCACATCCAAAACTACAAATCGAAACCAAAATGTGTGTTTGGCTAAACTAAGCTAATCACATCAAAGTCCAGCTAAGTGTATGTTCTGTAATTCCTGCCTGTTTCTTGCAGTGCAGCAACAATTTTGGTCCCAGAAGTGGCTGCAGTTCTTTCGAGTTTTTCAGCATTGATAAAAGTAGAGGGTAAAAACTATCAACATCACAACATTTGTGAATTGGTACTGGTTTACTTAGAAAATAGAAAAAGAAAATACAAATATATCCCACATTCATAGATTATCGCATTGTTGACATTGTTTTGAACGGCCTATACTCGATGGCTGACAATTCCTCGGTTACTGTTCTTGGTACAGCAGATGCCTGCTTTCATAGGACTGTGTTGAACAAGAATATGCGTCTGCAGTTCTTGCAAATGTTGAGCTTCTTCTCAGAAATCTGCACACAACTGAAACATATACCATCTGGCAGGTTGCTCAACTTGTGTTTCATATCTGTGCAAGATGGATAGGCCTTTGTGTACTTCAATAAGATGGAAACCCACACAAGCATACTAAGAGTTGATTATTGCCAGTTTGCCAAGCTGTGTAACAAATGCATGCTCTAAATAACACACACACAAGCTCAAAGTCATTTCCTGTTTGCAGCTGTTTTAGTCGCAGGGGTTCCCCCCTCCTTTTTCAAATCATCTCTTTTCTCTGTGTTTGTTTTGTTTACATGAACGGTATTTTTGCTGCATCTAAGAAGCCCCTTTTTGGTACAGTTCACCACATGACAAAACAAGACCAAAGCCGTGATGACATTATCTAAGAAAATGCTGTGTTTCATTTAGGGTTTTCATCACATATTTGACTTCAGTGATTGGTTTGTTTTTGTAACCGTGCTCTGATGTTAAGCATGTGTTAAACTAGCTGAAAAAGCCAAAGAGTGATAATACAAGGCCAGTCACAGCTAAGACTAATGGAAACTCAGTAGTAGCAGTGTTGCTGTTAAAACGCCATCATTCGTTTCACACTGATCGAACCTCTTAAGATACGATAAGAGATAGTTGCCCTTCAACCTGATTAAAGAAGCTTGAGGAAATGGAGTCACTTTTTTTTTTTACGAGTGGAGATGGATTTAAATGATATGTGCCATGTTGAGTACAGCCACATGTTTCTAAACGATAGTCATTTTTGCACGTGCATGCAACAAAGCATTTGCCCAGTGTGGCATTTTTGGGCTAAATTACCTCAAACAATCTGAAAGTCCATGTCTTCTTTGGCTCTTTGGTTAGTAGATAAGCTTCCTACACTATTTCCTGTTTGTTGGGGTTTGCTAAAGTCATACACAACGGTTCTAGTTTTTACTTAATGCTTAGCCTCATTTGATAAAACAACTACAAACATAAATGTAAATGAGATTTCATATTTTACAACTAGCTTTTTCAAGCAAGCTTTCTTGAAAACTCATCACAACACAGCAGGATGTTTTTTCTAAGTTGCATGCCTGGCTCCACACGAGACCTCGTAGCATAAAACTCTGCAGATGGGGCTGCACGGCTTCCCTAAGATCCTAAAGTGTGTGTGTGTGTGTGTGTGTGTGTGTGTGTGTGTGTGTGTGTGTGTGTGTGTGTGTGTGTGTGTGTGTGTGTGGTGTGTGTGTGTGTGTGTGTGTGTGTGTGTGTGTGTGTGTGTGTGTGTGTGTGTGTGTGTGTGTGTGTGTGTGTGTGTGTGTGTGTGTGTGTGTGTGTGTGTGTGTGTGTGTGTGTGTGTGTGTGTGTGTGTGTGTGTGTGTGTGTGTGTGTGTGTGTGTGTGTTGTGGTGTTGTGTGTGTGTGTGTGTGTGTGTGTGTGTGTGTTGTGTGTGTGTTGTGTGTGTGTGGGTGTGTGTGTGTGTGTGTGTGTGTGTGGTGTGTGTGTGGTGTGTGTGTGTGTGTGTGTGTGTGTCGTTTTCTCTTTCGCCCCTCTTCCGCCAGCTGCCGCCCTGACCATGGTGCATGATGGTAATTGAGTTTGATGATAGAGCCAGTGTGTGTACGTGCATGCATATTTGATAAGCTTGGAAAGGCATTGCCATGATTTTCATGGCTGATTGCAATGCTGCTAGTTAACCAACTGCACTGCTGCTGTGTGTGAGCTTGGCAGGGCAGAGAGTTTAAGCCTTGGAAATGGCCTTAAAAGGAAGGAGAGTGGTGGCCTTTCATGCACACATCTTAACATACACAAGAAGAAAAGCACATGCCTTTCACCCTAAAAAGAAGTTATTCAAATGCACATTGCACTATGTTGGGGTTGCTGGGTAATACACTGATAGTGTGTTTGTACAGTTGCTTTTTTGTGAATGCAAATGAGGTTTTCACACGTCTTCGTTGGAACCACGCTTGAGCATGCGGCCCGCACACATTTCGTGGCTGCACAGTAGATTCTAATCAATGGGAAGTGTTCATATGTATTTTTCTGTACATCTTTCTGTGTGAAAAACAGCCGTAATATCAGTGAGCTCGTTTTGCACTAAAAAGGAAGCTGCATGGAAACTGATAATGTGTTCGCGTGAGAAAGCTCCAGTCAAGGCGCAGCGCCCTGTCAGGGTAAAAGTTGAGCGAGGCTTTTTATGCAGAGCTAATGTCAGTCTAAACGCAGCTTTAAGCTATCAGGTGAAACCACGCCTGGTACCTTTTAAGACCCCACCAAACAACAAGCAACTGAAAGAAATGTAAACACACTTAGATTCAGATTTTCTGCTTCCATTTATTACATCTTTTCATCTTTTGGCCTCGTGTGAATGACTGGATTTGTCTTTCCAGGATTCTAGTCTGTCATCCATCATTGGAATAAAAAAAATCAAACTATTTAAAGAGAAATTGAGTAAACTACTGACAAATGACTGCAAAGATAGCATTACAGTTGTGGTTCAAACAAAACAACTATTAAACAAAATCAAACTTCTTGAGGTTACAGCTTTAATTAATGAGGACATGATCTCTTTCATGCTTCTTTATTTGCTGTGAAAATACTAATAGTCTGTAGACAGCAATACTAGTTAAACTCTTCAATTTGCCATTTGAAGATGAAAAATGTTCCAGCAGGATTGTATCATTCCAACATTCGTATATTTAGCACCAATAAAGTGAATTTGAGTACATTAAAGTCATCCTAATCGAATTAGTTAATTGGATGAAAAAAGATGTAACATTTCTTCCCATGACAATCTACTTGTTGCACTCACGCATGTGATCCATTTGTTTTGCTGGGAACATTACTAAGATAAGATTAGAAGCATTCATCGATCCCTGGAGGGGGAATTCAGGGCAAATTGAAGATTCAAGCTTTTCAACAAGCAGGCGACGGATTAAATCCAACACTTCTGCTGTTCCGCTCTGCCTATAATAACAATGTGTTGTTCTTAATTGCTTAATAAACTGCCAGTTATATAAGCAGGGTTTAGATTGAGTTTGTTTTGTAGATGGAATGAGCTAATAGCCAAGGCTATATAACTGTTGTGTTATTGCAGAAGTGAATCTTGTTATGTCAGCTGAAACAAGCAGAAGTCTTTATTGCGGCCTCAGACCTTAACCTTAAAGTGTCTATCTTGTCTCGGCCTTTAAAGTTGTGCTACATGTGTCTCCATGAGATCAACCTTACACTGTGACACATAATAAAACAACATCCCCATCCTGCTCTGTTATTTTAGATTATTTAATCATCAACCTACTTTTCTGTATCTGAGCAGTTTTTCTTACACTTTGGAGTTACATTACATTACATGTTACTTGTTAGACGCTTTTATCCAAAGCGACTTAAATACTCAATACTGTGGGCAATCCCCACAGGAGCAATTTTGGGGTGAAGTGTCTTGCCCAGGGACACAACGACATGCTGACTTCAGTGGGGTTTGAACCTGTGCTCCCCTGATCCAAACACCAATGCACTAGACCACTACGCCACACGCCAGTTACCTCATAAGCTTCCTCAACTTTGACTGTCTCTCTTAAATAAGGTCGTTGTTTCTACAGCGATTCCTACTTTTCCTTTAATCTAACGTACAGTAGTCATGGTTACAGACAAGGGTTAGCGTCTTGCCAGGAAAAAGTGTTATTCTGTCTTCCAGAGTCAGTTCCCACAGACTGCAGCAGTCTGATGGCGGATACGTTTCCTCAGACCTCCTGTAGACTTATCTTAATCACCACCCTCTCATCTCATCTGTGTGTGTGTGTGTGTGTGTGTGTGTGTGTGTGTGTGTATATGTGTGTTTGTGCTTTTGCATGAGTTTTTTTCCAGCTCTTAATCCTTCCCACATGTTTTTTATTTCATGCTTGTGTGTTCATGTGCCTGTGTATCATGTTGCTGTTGCAGTTTGTCCTTCTCAATCTGTATGTGTTCGTGCTCTCTCACACTTTTTCCTATATGTTGTTGACATATATGGTGAAAGCTTTGTCTTCGTTTGTTCTATTTTGTCAGCATCATGTGAAACGTTTATCTCAGCCTTCAGTAAAAAGAAAACAGAAAACGTTCCAGTAACGGGCCTTCTTAGAAAACCAACATAATTGAGGTTATTAGAAGTCACAATGCGTGATGTTCTTCTATACCCTCTATTTTTATTTTGTACACGCATTTCTTTGCATCTCTGCTGTGTTTTCCTTTTTCTCTCAGGGACGGTAAGAGAGGAGTTTGC